ATCTCTTTGGTAGCAAACATTCTTTTTTAAATTCAACGCTAATGTGAAAGCGAAAGAGTTTTTAAGTGAAATGTAATCTAAACGATATTTAATTTGTATATAGATGTTTAAATTGTAAATAGTTGCTCTAGTTTTATTATTATTTTGTTTAATGAAAATGTTTATAGAATCGTCATTATCCTAATATAAAACAAACATATTCACATTCAAGGCTATTTTGTTCCATTTTAAACGTAATTTATAGATAATCCTTATTTTTTACCAGAACCTAACATAATTATATAATTGTGCTAACCCTACAAACGACGCGTCACCTTTTTCGTCGTTGATAATAATGAAGCTTTTAATTCAGTTCAGTAGTTATAAAAAATAAAAAAAATCAAATTTTAACACAACTTTATAATATAAGTTAGTATAGATTATGCTCGTATTAAAATAATGTACCTAATGTGTTTCTATTTAATAATTGGAAGAAATGCATATGTCTGTATATTCTATCAAATCAAATGGTTTATGGACGAATTTCTTTTTCGAAAGATAAAATATTTAATGGCAGAGGTATACTGCTATTATGGTTCATTAGTATTTGTTAAAACTAGCGCTTTACTCTTGTAAGGGGAAAATATACCAAAACCCAATGAAAACGTATATTATATTCTATTCTAGATATATACGACTCATTTTATCATTCTCTGAAAATAAAGTGTTAACAGATATTAACTTATTTGCAGCTATTGAAATTTAGTTTATATCGTTGTTGGTTCTTAAAAAAATGTTTGTTTCGAACTTTACTATTCTCGGTATTAAGTCTCGGTCGTAGTCGTGTGGTTTGCGAAACTTACCATATATGTATGTATCATAAGAAGGTCGGAAAGTCTTATAACGGAGCTGTTTGTTTTTGGAGGACTTGTCATAACTAAAACTTTACTCGATAATATGTAAAACTTTTTACAAGTGATTGTTTATCTTATTGCCTATTAATAAGATTCTTTGAATACAACCTACAATATAATTTTATTTTTCACGAAAATATTTGTAAAGTAATAAATATCAAGACTAAAAAAGCTTTTATCTCACTTTAAATAATTACCAAATACATTGATTTATATTTAAAATATATTTTCGATATGTTTGGGTAGAAACCACCATTTCCAAATGCTTAAATTTTTATGAAATTGACAGAAAAGAGTCACATTTCAAAAGTAAGCTATTAAACCTTATATGAGGAACGGTAACTAAGCCGTCATTGGAAGCTTTATATGGGCATGGATTCAGTTGTATTAACTTTGCTAAGACATGGCGCCAGTGAATTATAATAGTGGGAACATGTAATTAGTTTAATAATTTGAAACTAGTTTAATAAAGAACTCTAATTTTTATCAATAAATCTACATTTTCGTTCAAGTTTGCGTCTGGTAAAGCGAGCGAGTGTCATCCAGTTTAGACAGTTGAATATCTTATTAAATTTTGTAATGTTCAAAACTAAATCAATACGAGCTTTCCGCTAGCGGCTTTGTCCGCGTGATTTATCCGTTCTTGCAACATTTTTTATTGTTGTTCCACTCCTATTAGTTTAGACATGGCGTGATATTATATAGCCTATAGCCTTCCTTAACAAATGGACTATTCAACAGAAAAATAATTTTCATTTCGAACTAGTAGTTCCTGAAATGAGCGCTTTAAACCAAACAAAGTTTTCAGCTTTATAATATTGAGCGTAGTATATTGAAGCTTTCTTAACAAATGGACTATTCAACAGAAAAATAATTTTCATTTCGAACTAGTAGTTCCTGAAATAAGCACGTTCAACCAAACAAACTATTTAGCTTTATAATATTGAGCGTATATAGAAGTAAAATTGATGCAAACACATTTAGAAAATAGCGCTATTTTAATGATTTACTACACTCATGCCGAAGACGGGCATCCTGAGCGAGAGGTTCAGTGTCAACTCTGGTTAGTCACGGGGCGTCGTGTATGGTAATGAATGTTTATACAACCGTCTTAGCGACGCCACATGACAAGGTCACACCACAATTGTTGCCGTTGTGCTAATATTTAATCATTATTATTTACTCGTTTACGTATGTCGATATTGAAAAACTATTTAGTTTTCTTTAAAGTAAAAGTATATTTTCACGCTTAAATCAGTCATGTTTTGATGTTGTTTATTTTTTTTTTTCATATTGAAAATGCGAAAACGTTTTTATTCATTGACCAAAGACCGCAGGTTTAGAATAATTCTTAGGTCCTTTTCCCAAAAGAAGGTGCACGGAGGGCGTTTAGTGGGTATGTCATCCGCGTTTTAACTAGCCTTTAGGCGGATTCGTTTGAATGGAGAGTCCCACACACCCCCTGCCGCCGGTAAAGCGGCGGGGACAGTGCATAAAGCATTCCCCTACGATAAAAAAGGTTTATAATAATAGCCAAAAGTATTGTAACGGGTTCGATGCTTGGGCAAATGAATGAAAGGCTGACTAAGCTTGAGAACTTGAAAAAGAAAACAAAAGAAAACTAAATAAAAAAAAAATTGAAATTTTGAGTAGGCCTTCAGGTGTCAAGGTTTCATTTGATTGGGCTAATATTTGAATTTGATGATTTTTTATTTAATATTAGAACGAATTTCTAGAAATTTGCGTCATAACTGTCACATTATTAGTAAGTACTTGAAATAAAAGATGCAAATATGCAAGTACGTACTTGATAAGATATAAATAAATATTTGTTTTAGCGATTTTGAAATTTCTGTTCTAAGTAATTATACCATGTGGAAAACCCAAAAAAAAATAATTTCTTTAAGAATATTTTCCGGTATAGCATCATGAATGCAAAATTGATCAAATGTAAAAACAAAAGATTTTTGTTATCGTTAGTTGACACGATGCGGTATCTGAATTTTTTTGCTTAAATTTATATTTTTGATAGAACACACTTATGTAGTCAGCTATTTTTAAAAATGTATCAATAAACCGTGTCATAAAAATGTTAATAAAATTAGTTCTAGTTAATCACACAATTATAAATCCTTTGAATCATAATCATCAGATCTATAAGCTTACGACCTTGGTCTTTGACCGGTGGACGGCTTTTTACTTTACAGTCTACAATAATAAAGTTCTAATTAGAAATAATAACTGCTTTCAAAGGAGCCGCCTACACTAAGAACCTCGATGGGTGGTCAACATTTCTACTGAATAGAGTTTATACGTAAATTTCAAATAATTACTAATAAAAAGAGTTTCTAATGTTGTTATATACCGATCTTGATCGTGTCCAGGGGGCCAATTCTACTAAATAAATTTTGTTTAAATCGAATCGAAAACGTTGAAACCGAACGAAACTACAGTTTTTAATGGTTTTTCTATTCTACAAAGTGACATACGATACAATTCCAGCTATTGCTATTGTTACTTTGTAGAATAGGAAAACCATTAAAACTGTAATTTCGTTCGGTTTCGATCCGTTTTCGATCTGTTTTCGATTCGATTTAAACAAAATTTATTTAGTAGAATTGGCCCCCAGAACAACGCGGGTGTTACACGCGTTTCGTTAGTAATGTTTAACGAAACGCGTGTAACACCCGCGTTGTTGGTAAAGAACAGTGCTACAAATAAATAAAAATATTGCAGCAATGTACATACGGCTGCTGATAACGCTACCACAATATGTTAAATTTTAACTACGACAATTGAATTTCAATCCTAAATGTGTCAAGGTTTAAAATTAAGTGGGGAATCTTGACAGTTTTGTATAACCTATAGTGCTGTTGACTGTACACAAAATCGAGTCTGAAGTCTCCCTAGCCGAAAAAGATTAAACGTGAAAATTTTCTTTAAGGCTAGATCCAAATAATACATTTTATAGTATTAACTACTGATACTCTCTAAATAAAACTGAAAACATAATAAAGAGAAAAAATACATTTAAACCGTTATCATAGCTATTTTCTTGTTATATTAATTATTTTCACAATTTAAAACAGAGTTTGACATGATTTTCTTTTTTTATTCATATTTTGGCCTATACTTTTGTTGTTCGAATGTCATATGCGATTTAGCTAAGGTGCTGAGCCCCTTGTTGAATTTTTGTGTTAGTATCCCTTGCGCAATTTGGCTACATAACTAAGTTAATTGACCGAATTAATGCTTTTTTACCCGACTGCGCGACGCAAAGGAGGGTAATGTGTTTATCAGTCTATGTATGTATCTACGTATGTATATATGTTCGTTTCTATGTGGCGTTCTAGAGACCAAATGCCTAGGCCGATTTCGATGATTCTTACGTCAATCGATTCGTCTTTACCTTACGAGTGTCACTAAAGACATGACAGTAATCAAAATTCACCACAGCGACAACCAGACGCCATATTGTCTAAATGAAAAAAATAAATATCGATGAACTGTGTCAAGTGGGGTGTTTTTGAATGGGTATTTTAAAATCATCTTTAGGTTCCTTTTATCATTTTTGAAATTCTGACCCCCTTGGGAAGATTTGATTGGTCAAATTTGAATGGGCCCCTACTATGAGTCGTTCTGTTCTGTATTAGTTAACAGAATTCTAAACTACTGGGCTTGTTTCTTTCTTTTTAGTTTTTATTTAAGTTAATTCTTTCATGTATTTTTTTAAATTTTATTTTACGCAGTCGGGATTTTTGTTTTTCTTTAAATTATTTATTTTTTCACAATACTATAAATGCTATTTATACAAATTAACATATTTCTTCGAATACGAAACTGCTTTTTAAATGCTGTAACGGCTCCAAAGAATACGTTTTTCCATAATTTTTGATGCAACGAAAGTAAGACCTGACACTGTCTCTGATGCACAGCTAATCTTCGCGGATATGATTTTCAGCAAATTATAAGAATGAGTCGCAAATGTTTATTTTAGGACAAATAGGTCATCTTAATATGTATATATAATTTATATATATAGTATTGTGATGTTGTATACCAGATGTATATGTATATCAGATAGTGATCATATTTATTTGTTTGCAGGCCAGTGATGTGTTGATGACAGTGATGCCTATCACAGCGGTATCACGGGAGACGCCTCCCGCGTCACCACCTCTACACCCTGCTACATATGAGGAAGCTTTAGCTAACGTAAGTATGATTATCATAGATTATCTATTGAAAATATTTATTACTGAACTTGTAAAAGTAACTCGATGGCGTAGAATATGCGTCACGGCCCGCGGATTTATATCGAGCGTTAAGCCATTGGTCCTGGCTGTATTGGCAGTTGTGAATACCCTCCAATCTGCATTGGGCCAGCATGGAGGGTCATATTCTTTTTAACAATCTATAAGAAACTCCTGAACAACTGTAGTGAGGACATAATAGGGCTGACGATGTATTAATGAAAATTAACTTCTAAAACTCGCAGGTGCCCGAATTGGATTCGAATTCGCACGTTCATGAACTTTGTTTATACCAACAGGGTCTACTCATTGTCTCGGGACAAAGACTGTTCAGTTTTTCAAATAGTTTGAGTGAGCGATTTTTTACTGTCTTCTTTTAGCAAATTTTGCTAGAAGAAACTATGTAATCTAATTGACTGTGTGATATAATTGATTTATATGACCAGTAAATAATTTGATTTGTTTGAATTATAAATATATGTTTTTTTATATATAGAATTATGTGGGTAGTGTTCTTAACGAATAAATATTCGTATGGGAAATATAAAAAAAAAACACAGGAATGCCAGCCACACCTATCAGGATGCCTTCGGACAGAGGACGCGATGCCCGAGTGTTCTAAATTATTTACCAATCTGCCGCATATATATCTATTTATAATTTTTTTGTCTTTTTCTATATTCCGGAAATTATACACACTATATCTTATATTATTATGAAACGTACCGTTCCGTTTAGTATAGTAACCATTGAATTAAATTACTACAAATTGTAGATTACAACAAAGAAGTTAGTGTATTAAATATTTTTATATGATTTGGTCATCCTTTGAAACGTTTGAAAGTAAGAAAACTTAAGGTGTAATAATATGCGTGAAAATTGGCGGCCTTTAGACATAACACATGGCGGCCATAGCTGAAGAGCCATAGCGCGCAAAACATTTGTTACAAAACTTTTAAAACTCATGCGCATCTTTAACGATTTACATCGATTTGTTATGCTAATACACTATCTCCTTGACTCCTTTGCACGAAACATTGCCGAAACATCGTCGTGCAGCAGTAGTATGTACATCACGCGTGTACTGAAACGTTAATATTGCCCCACTGTGTGAATGGAAAATAGCCATAATAACGCAAATGTACGTAAAGTACAATCCACCTGCATACAATAGCTTAGTAGTGTGCGATTCCCAGCATCCGACGGCCAACCTCGCTGGCGCTTAAGAGAATTAAACGGAAATTAAAAGAGGCCTAATGAGATTCGATGCCGTGAACAAATAAAAAAAATAACTTTTTTAAATTTCGAACTGTGTAGCCTGTAAAATTGTTTATTAAGTGTGTCCCTAAGTATTTAAGAAGTGTTGGAAAATTTGTGATTAGTGATACTTTGACACAGTGATCGTTAAAAATATTGTTTAGTTTTAATGTGGTTTCAAGTCAACATTTTTCGTAATTTAGAAAGTATTGATATGTTCTTTTTTCAAATTAAATAACTTACAAGTTTAAAAATAGAACAGTTTGTCGATTAATAAAAATCAAATCATTAAAGTAGAACGATGCTTTGTCTATTGAAACCTTGATTAATATTTATCGAGGAGTTTAATATAATTGGTTGCATTTGCGTTTTTGGTTTTGTTGATGCGATTTCTTTATCATCATATGAGTGAATTACACGGTTATTAGTTTTCTGATATTTTTTCATGGAAAAGTATTTTTATTTAGCTTTAATCGCCATAATCAATAAATAAGGTAAAGTGAAGAGTCTTTTCTAAGAATAGTAATAAGAATTCAAATAGTCAAAATTGAGTGTAGAATGTATCGGAATTATATTAAGGGAAACTTTTTATTCCGCCAGAAAGTTGTTAAGACACCGTGATTCTGAATTGGAAGCAGAAGCTAGTTTAGCAATTAAAAGTATGAAGGTTTTTTATATGAATACTTTGTCAGTATGGTCGGAATTTTAGAAGTAACGTTTAATTGTTTTTTTTATTATTTTGACCTCGTTAGAGCCGGTGTTATCTGTTTTTGGAATCGTTTTCAGTATTCAAATTTATAAATTTTTCCTACTTTTTTTTTAGTGAAATTTCTTCTGTATTAAAACGTTTACATTATTTTTTCAAGAAATTGGTAAAGATTTACCACAACAAAATTTCTAAAAGAAACATCAACACTTCAACTCAAATCATTCAAAGGTCTAAATGAGTAAAAATATCATGTCTGTTTGTACTGAACCTAGGGCTGGTGGATATTTTTAAGCATTTTTCGTTGAAAATTATAAACTTGCGGTTTCTGCCATAGGATTGATTTAAAAAGATGATTGTTAGAATAAAACGCTTTATGTTGAGAATGACATGTAATAACATAATCAAATCTAGATAATCAGAATGCTTATAATCGCCCGACGTACATAGTCGATATTTTCAATATAAATTTATTCTAAGTACACATTATTTTCGCTATAATTACAAAATATCAATTTACAAGTGATCTTGTTTTCTGTGCTAATAAAGAAGCGGTATAATTTAAAATATAAAGTAAGTACAGTCTCTTCCTTACTATACGATACTCGTTTAAGTACACGAGGATTTAAGGTGAGCATCCACTGTGTACGCACGCATGCAACGGGCGCACGATACGTTACATATTTTCCAAAACTTTGTATGAATCTGTGTAGCACTCCGTCCACTATCCGCACTGGTTGCACTAACAGGACGCATTAGATGAGCACAGACTGCGATACGTACCAATAACTTTACAGGTCTTACGAAACTCGCACTGCCATTTTTTCTTTGTATTTTTATTCCTCTGTGTCCCTGAATGGGACCTTTTTGATACATTTTTGTTTATGGTTTTTATATTTATTTTTTATAATGTTTTTTATAAAGTATGGTATAAAGTATATCCGGTTATTTTTCAAAGTCTGCGCTTTGGAAAATAACCGTATTTTAAATCTGTATGCAGTGGATGTATGACATAGGTAAATCCGTACAATCCATTGCGTGCATACACAGTGGTAGTTCATCTTAAGCCGCCATTCAAAGTACAGTATACTGACCGATTTTAAAAGATTTTTAATTTTTTCAATAATTTCCCATCATTAAGTATTATTTTTATATTTTAAAGGAGCTTTTTTGGCAAAAGCTTTTAGCAATGATGATTTTCATTATTTTTTTGGAACCCACTTGAGGAAATCTATTTCTTTTTAATAAAGATTGTTAAAAGAAGATTCATCAAAATTTGTCTACTATTAACAAAGATATCGTGAAGAAAATTTGATAGCTACCTCATTGTTTGAAGTTATATAAAACTATCAATTTAATGCTTTTCTCCGCGCTATTGATAAGGGAGCGGCATAATTTACAATATAAAGTGAGTACTACACGATACTCGTTTACGTCGACGCCGTCGAGTTACGTAATGGAATTCACTAGTTCGAACATAAATACAACGACAATTTAAGAATAGCCGGTTTACCTTGCCTCGTGGGAGCGGTGTACCATGGAAATTCCATGCGATTGTACCATTTATATACATTCGTTGGTGAGAGGGAAAAGGCGAAAGTGATATTTTTATATGATTCCTTATCGGAATATTCCTAATAATTCCTAACGCGATAGAAACTTATTAATTATCTTTCTTTAAGTAGACTAAAAATTTTATCTTTTGATAATACGAAGTATGTACTATTATGGGATAGGATAATCTTATATATAAAATCTTCGTGTCACAGTTTTTATGGTAATAAGTTTTTTTTTAAATAACTAAATTAATATACATTGCTCAGATTCAAAGATGAATAGTTAAAGTTTCAATATAGAGTATCTTCGATAGCGAAGGTACCACAACACTCAGACTCAAGACAATATAGGCCATTGTCCATTTTTACCGGGAATCGAACCCGGAACCTAATGGATGGCGACACCTTGAAGCGAACCACTCCCTCTTATGGTAAGGCAACGTTTGCCGGTCAGCTAGTTTCTTAGACTAATATTTTTTTTCGAAAAAGTTATAGGTATAAAATACTATTATGTGAAGCACAAACTTTTTGTTTTACACCATTTTACAAAACTTATGCGGATGAAGGAGTGTGTATATTGGCATAGTAAAAATTTATAATTATGAAGAAAGAGTGCCCTTCAATTTTTTTTTATATTATTATACACACTATCATGCATTTGATATATACCATATTATTCTTACTGAATGTCAAAAAATAAATAAAACTCACGCCAAACAGAGTAGTACTCCGTATCGATGAGAGTTACTCGTTCAATTCTCACTTCGGTTATTGCTAATGTCTTTTATGTACAATTTTTTTTGATGAATTTATTAATAGTACTTTTAAGCTCAGTGAAAATTGGTTCATTTCATCGACATTACATGCAGTCAGGGCTAACAGTTACACATAATTTCATTTTCAAAGCAGAGATGAGAAACTTATTTATTAGTTTAGTCAACCATTCAAACGACGATTATTAAAAATTTACTCATCTTAAAGACGGTGCCCATCTTAAATCTTGGTATCTAGTACCTTTAACTTGAATACTTTAACGCAGTAATAGCCTACATAGCGTTGAGTGGACAGCTGACCTTTTAAAAGAGTAAAGTGCAGTAAATTATTACCGTCTATAAAATGGACTAAAGTCAGTACTTGGTTGAGATTTAAACCATAGGCCGCCTAAAGCAAATTGACATCAACAGAATAGAAAACGTCAAATTGAAAAGTGTTGATATATTTTGGTCGTCTAACGGTTGAAATCTGGTAATGAAGTACCTAAATCCTCGTTTGAATCGAATTCAGATTTATGAAGTAGTCTTTTAATATCTAATCTGGAGCTCGATTATACAGTGGTTATCGCGCTTGGTCTGCAATACGGTAGCTAAGCAACTTTCGCAAGGGCAGGTTGTAGGATGGGTGATCAAACATTTACTACCTCGAGCTCCTCCGTGCTCCGGAAGG